GGTACAGTGTGTGTGTATGGAGGGGCAATGTTTGTATATGGATGGCAGTGTGTGTGGGGGGTACAGTGTGTGTGTATGGAGGGACAATGTTTGTATATGGGGGCAGTGTGTGAGGGGTACAGTGTGTATGGAGAGGCAATGTATGTGTATGGGGGGCAATGTATGTATATGGGGGCAGTGTGTGTGAGGGGTACAGTGTGTGTGGAGGGGAAACGTATGTGTATGCAGTGCAATGTGTGTGTATGAATGGGCAATGTATGTGGATACTTCTCACATCACAGTCACTGCAATACTGTTTTTATAACAGTAATGAATAATTTGGAAAACCTGTTCAGTAAAGACCTATATTGCACACAGGGGCGCCGCAAGATATTTTCCTTTTGCCATGATCAAATGATCATAGCACTGGGAACTGTGTTTCCCTCTCTCCTGCCGGTTCTACAGGACCGGAGGGGAGATCAGAGATCTCCCTCACAGGCCCACTAGAATTGTAATGCTGGCAGCCGACAGGCTAATCTGCAGCTCCGCCGGGTTCTCCTCTCGCGAGTTTGGAGCATTGCCGCGGTTACCACGACAACGCTCTAAATCGCATGAGAGTAAACTCTAGCCCGAGCTGCAGTCTAGAGCTCACTCTCACCACTAGGACCGCCAGGGCTTCCCCACCGGACCACCAGGGACTGTCTTGCACTGTCCCCCCTCCCAGGCAAAGGTAAGCAGGGAGGGGAGATATTATTTTTTTATTTTTAATAAAAATTTACAATATATTTAGGAATTTGCCCTCCATCCCCCACAGAGACACAATAACGCCCCCCATACACACACACTGCTCCCCATACACACACCCTGCCCCCCATACACACACTACCCCCCATATACACACACACACACACTGCCCACCCATATACATACACTATCCCCCCCATACACACAAATTACCTCCGCATACACACACACTGCCCCTCCATACAAACTGTTCCCCTCACATACACTGTATCCCACACACACACTGCCCCCCACAAAGACTGCACCTGCACACACACACTGCCCCACACAACATGCCCCACCCACACACACTGTACCCCTCACACATACACTGTACCCCTTATACAACCTTCAAAATTTGTTGAAAATTGTGAGGGTTAATGTGGTATTTTTTTTTGCGCCATTTTCATGATGTGAGTAAAATTGTACAGAGAGCAAAGCAAGGACAAATCTTATTATTATTGCTCTCACTATGAAACATGAAAGAGCTCTCTGTATTCTTTTAGAAGTAAACGTGTATTAGGTCAGGATTCCATAAAACTATTTCAAAATGTAGAATGGGGCCTGGAAATGTAAACCCACAGTAATGGAACTAGGTCAGTCTCTTACAGAGAGCCCTGCATACTGTTTTGTGAGTATTGTTTGTGTGGTGGCTGAATGTTGTATGTGTGGTGGAGACTGAGCATTGTGTGTGCACAGTAACTTAGTGTTGTGTATGAAGGAGTCTGAGAGCTGTATGTGGGAATGGGAGGTGTTGAGTGTATCTGTGTGTGCTGGCTATGTGTTGTTTGTATGGTGACTGAGTGTTGAGTGTGAAAGGGAGTTTGTGCATGGCTCAGTGTTGTGTGTGTAATGTCTGAGTTTATGATTTTTGCCCTCCTCCTGCTTACCTTTCCCTGGCTCTATAGCAAACATGCCTTGTAGTGTCAGTAATAGAAATCTGTATTCCTAAATGATATAGTGTCCCCCAGTTGTATTTAAGTCCTCCCACCTGCTTGCAATAAAAATTGAAAAAATAAATAATTTACATACCTTTTTCCAGCTCTCTTGGCGCTACTCACCTTTCTGCCTCCTGCAACTTCACAGAGGAGACATGGCCTCCTCTGCGATGGTCCAATCCAGTGCTCCTCATAGAGTAGCATTGGGGTCCACGTCCTTTCCTATGGGCTTTCACGTCACGTGGCTGAGTGTTACTTGGTGAGTACAGTGGAAGAGGCTCTAGTGGCTGTCAGCAGGGCCGGATTAACATAGGGGCTGATGGAGCTGCAGCTCCAGGCCCAGGCCCAGGCCCATGAAATAGGCCCATAAAAAAAGAAAAAGTTTCTTTTTTTTTACACACTACTCTTAGGTTTGCAACCAGACTTGTATTTTATGTATTTATTTGTGGCTGGCTGGCCGTGCTGGTATTGCAGTAATACCGGCAATACAAATGCAGATATTTTTCTCAGTTTCTCAGTAACGGAGATTACTCTGCAATACCAACACCAGCCAGTAGGGGTCACTGTGTGTGGAGAGAGGCAGGGATAGGAAGTTACAGTATATCCCTCCCTGCCTCTCTCTATTTACTGATCCGCGGGGAGCAGCTACACAGCGCAGAGAGTCCAGACAGCAGCTCCCAGCCTGCAGACACAGCCTACAGCTCAGGTAAGTGAAGAATGGGTGGAAAGGCAGCAGGGAGACATGGGGACACTGAGACACTAGGGGACACGTTGAGACATGGGGATGCTGAGACACATGGGGACACTGTGAGACATAGGGACATTGGGAGACACATTGTGACATGGAGACACTAGGGACACAGTGTCTCCATGTCTCCCAATGTCCCCGTGTCTCCCAGGCAGTGTCCCTAGTGTCTCAGTGTCCCCTAGTCTCCCAATGTCTGTGTCCCCATGTCTCTCAGTGTCCCTAATGTCTGTGTCCCTATGCCTCTCAGTGTCCCTAAATGTCTTTGTCCCCATGTCTCCCAGTGTCCACATGTCTCCCAGCCAGTGTCCCTAGTGTCTGTGTCCCCATGTCTCTATGTCTCCCAGCCAGTGTCTGTGTCCCCATGTCTCGCAGTGTTTGTGTCCCCCATGTCTTTAAGTGTACCTAGTGCCCCCATGTCTCTGTGTCCCCAAATGTCTCAGTATCCCCATGTCTCACAGTGTCCCCATGTCTATGTCCACAAGTGCCCCCATGTATCCCAGTGTTCCTAGTGTCTGTGTCCTCATGTCTCCCAGTGTTCCCTAGTCTCCCAGTGTCTGTGTTCCATGTCTCTTAGTGTTGCCAAATGTCTCAGTGTCCCCATGTCTCCCAGTGTCTGTGTCTGCTTGTTTCTGTGTCCCTAGTGTCTGTGTCCCCCTTTCTCCTAGTGTCGTCATGTCTGGATCCACAAGTGCCCCCATGTCTCCCAGTGTCTCCGTGTCCCTGGATCTCTCAGTGTTCTCATGTCTCACTGTGTCCCCATGTCTTTCAGTGTCCCCTAGGATCCTAGTGACACGGGACACACTGAGACATGGGGACACTGGGGGAAATGGGGACACTGAGACACTGGGAGACTAGGAGACTAGGCGACATGGGGACACTGACACTGTGATACATAGGGACATTGATGCCAGGCTGGCCTTCCAATTCATGTTCGCCCCTTTTGGCAGTTCTGGTCACGTGATTCGCATCAGTGGCCCACCCTTTTACCCCACCCATTGACTTCCTGCTTCACTGGACACTGCTGTTAGGGGGTATGGATTTACTTGAAAGAGGAAAGCCTAAATTAGAGAGAGATTAGCAGAGAGTATGTGTTTTCTTATAGCTTCATCCTTTGAGTTTCCCTCTAACACCATCTCCATCAGATACATGACGCTTGAGAGGTATGACTGTTTTAGTGTTTTTGGCCGATAAGATTCTGTAATTAGGCCCCATCATAATTGTCAGCACCAGGCCCACTGGGCTCTTAATCTGGCCCTGCATAGGGACACTATGATACATAGAAGACACTGAGACATGGGGACATACTAGGACACATGGGGCACTGAAACACTGTGATACATAGGGGACACAGACACTAGGAGATACTGGAAGACTAGGGGACACTAAGACACTGGAAGACAGGGAGACACTGGGAACAATCCATCTTTTATTCAGCAGAATCAATGTAAGTAGTTATTAATTATGCAAATTAGTAAGGCCTGTATTTTTTTACAAGAAAGGTGGCAACCCTAACTATCCTTCATATACTCTTGCTTAAGCATGGAAGCTTTAGAGGGATGTATGGGAACAATACTTGTGTGGACTGGCTGACAATGAAATTAGTTAAGGTAAAGCTGACTTTGTGCACAATGCAAATACTCTTGCTGCTTCAGTCTCTATAACACTGTGTCATGTTCCCTTTCTTCTACACTCACTACATACAGCTTTTCTCTGTCCCAGACTGTATGACAGGAGCTTCTGCCTGCTACTAAGGAGGTTAGGAGAGGAATGGACCAACGAGTACTAGGGGACAGTCCTTCGAAAGCGTGGAGCAAACTCATCATTAGACGCATTTATGCCAAGCTCAGGGTGCTGTCTGCATAGTATGCCCTTAGTTGGCCAGCTTGCATGAATGGCAGGCAGCCTGATGTGCATGCATGCTAGGCTGGTCTTCCAATTCTTTAGGCACAGGCCCCCTTTTTAAGGCATGTTCGCCTCTTTCGGCAGGTCTGATTACATGATTTGCGTCAGTGGCCCACCCTTTTACCCCGTCCATTAACTGCCTTCTTAACTGGACACCGCTGTTAGGGTTATGGATTTACTTGAAAGATGAAAGCATAAATTAGAGAGAGAATAGCATAGAGTGTGTGTTTTCTCATAGCTGCATCCTATGGGGTTCCCTTCTGCACCACTTCCGCCAGATACATGACGATTGGTAGGTACAGGGCCGTCTTTAACGTGGGGCAAACGGGGCAGCTGCCCCGGGCCCAGTTTCTTTTGGG